CAGTTCAATTGTCAACATATAGAAGAGCTGAAGGTCTCTTTGGTTTAAGTGGAGCAAAAAGACAAAGGGCTACAATGGCTCCTGATAAGAGATTTGTTTAATTTTTTTATTGTAATGTAATTATGTAGATATAACACAAAAGGTTAATAAGTTGATGCATAACTTGCAGCTGAATGGTGGAAGAATTATGGAGTACGTACACCACATTTACAAAATATTGCTATTAGAGTGTTGAGTTTGACTTGTAGTTCATCTGGATGTGAACGAAATTGGAGTACTTTTGAGCACGTAAGTAAATATCTGAATCCTCAATTTAAAGTTTTTTTATGAAAAGTGAAAATCTAATATTTTTTTTTTATGGTAAAATAGATTCATTCTAAAAAGAGAAGCAGACTTGAGCATCAAAGGTTACAAGACTTGGTTTTTATTAAATATAACCAAGCTCTTAATGAACGTTTTGAGTGTTCTGACGTGGTGGATCCTATTATCTTAAAGGATGTTGATGATAGTAATAATTGGTTGCTAGAAGGAATAGCTGGAGATGATGAAGATGCTGTAGATGAATTAGTGTTTGATGATGATAACTTGACTTGGGGAGCTGTTGCTAATGCAATTGGGGCTAGTGAGCCTATAACCTACACTAGGCGACAAGCTAAATCAAAATCCAAGACAACTACAATTGCTTCTTCATCTAAATCTAAGGGAAAAGGGAAAGAAATTGTACAAGAAGAAGAAGAAGAAGAATGTGATGACGAAGACTCTGAAGAAGAGGATGAGGAGGAGGAGGAGGAGGAGGAGGTTCTTTACAAAAGTAGTGATGAAAGTGAAAATGAAGAGGACATTGCAAATCTTGGAGATGAAGATGATGATAATTATTAAAATATTTGTATTTGAATTGAACACTTAGTATTTTTAAACATCTAAGCATTAGAGACTTAAATTTAGTTAGTTAAATTTATTTTTATATTTTGTTGTAAATTGTTATTGACATCTAAGCATATATATATATATGTGTGTAATTTAATTTATGAGTTTATGAGTATATTTATAATACCTAAAATAGCGGCCATCCCGCTATCCGCTATGCCGCTATAGCGTTTTTGAGGTCGGCCGCTCCGCGCTGCTATCCGGGATTGACTACTATGATTGTAAAATAATATGTTGAAATATTGGGGTGTAGTCAGACAAGGAGTACAAGAGAATAGGAATACTAATAAATATTATGAGATTGGATTTAATGATAAATACAAAGCACAAAAACCTACATTTGCCTTTTTTTTTTAGTACCAGTTTAGTACTATTACCACAAGCTCAGACCTGCTTAATTCTTTATGGTTATTGGGCTATAGTTTCTTACTATTGCATCTCACTGACTATTTATAGTATGATTCTTGGATGTTTTAAGCAGGTTGGAAAAGTGTACTTTGAATTGGTTGATTACTTAGAAGCTGATCAGGCCTTCAGCCTTGCTCGTCAGAATACACCTTATAGTTTGGAAGGAATGGATGTATACTCGACAGTTCTTTATGTGAGTTTATATTATATTCATTAGTTTCTGTGATATGCATATATTGGAGAAGCAGGAATATAAGATTTTATTGACAAACTCTGAATAATAGAATATAATATTGGTATATGTTGTGTGTTACAAATTGCAATAATAACAACACACTAACCATTATTTATACTAATAATCCTAACCTAAATAACTAGGGAAACAAATCATGAAGTATAATGAAATATGAAAATCACCCTTAAGAAATCATCCAAGAAATTCTAAATTATTCCAAGCTACAATAATTATACAATGAGATATTTTCTAGATATTTTAAGTTTCACAAGGATAAAGTTTTAAATTTATTTTCTTTTGTTGCCTTTGGGATTCAGATTCGTGGTTGATTCAATTAGTCAAGTCTTTTGGTAGAAAAATTATGCCTTTATCATGATGGCTTGATGATAGAATGGAACTGATGGGTAAATCCAAAGAGAAAGTTAATATCACTTGCTAGTCTTTGGCACCATTTGGAGGAAAATATTCTAGTTGATGTTGGCCTACTGTAAAATTGCCTGTGGAGAATGTTTTACCTAAGGATTTTGTGATGTAGCTGGCTATCTATGTAATCAGATTACTTGTTTTATGGCACTCATCAACAAATTACAAAAGCATCATGAATATTGATGTGTGGCATAACCTTCTAGAGCTATTTTATTTTATTGTCATTCTTCACTTCCTGCTTCCATTTTGTGTCTAAATGTTAAATGCATATCTGCATTTTTAATGCTTCACCGAAAGACTAATGTATATCTGGTGCAGCACCTAAAGGAAGATATGAAGTTAAGTTACCTGGCTCAAGAACTGATATCAACTGATCGTTTAGCTCCTCAGTCCTGGTAGGCTTATACAGAACTGTGTGATTATTCTATGTACTGATTTTTATGACTTAAATTAGTTTCCTTTAAAACCATTTCTACTTGCTATCATCCTTATTCACTTTGCAAGAATGCCCAAAACGGCATCTCTTTGCATGTGTATCATTTGCATGAGTGCATGTGCTGTGAGCCAAAACTGTGTTGTATGTTTGTTAGTAAATGCGTTAGTTGTTGGGCTGATGCCACATTCCAGACATATATGATAACATTAGTGTCTATGTTCTTGCCTACTATTTGTGATAGAAGGCCTTCCATGTCTAGCCTAATCGTGTATTTCACTATTTAGTATTATCTGAGCTATAATTTTTCAAAGCCTTTTCATAAATTATACTTGTCATCATAGCATTACCTACTACTTGAGAAACATGATAATGTGCTTTATATATATGTAAGTTTTTGCTGTAGTTGGGTGTTCTATTCTGATTACTATCATTTATCCTGGTTTATAATTGTGTTTGAATGCTCTGGCAGGTGTGCCATGGGTAATTGCTACAGCCTGCAAAAGGATCATGAAACTGCACTGAAGAATTTTCAGCGAGCTGTTCAACTGAATCCCAGATTTGCATATGCGCACACCCTTTGTGGACACGAGTATGGGCAGTGTTTTTTTGTTTATAATACATACACACAAGTGTCTGTGTATCTTCTGCAATTTTTTTGTGGTCTTCTGATTCATTGCTACTTACAGGTATGTTGCACTGGAAGATTTTGATAATGGCATCAAATGCTACCAGAGTGCACTCATGGTTGATGCAAGGCACTATAATGCCTGGTATGGACTTGGAATGGTATATCTTCGCCAAGAGAAGTTTGAGTTCTCTGAACATCATTTCCGGATGGCTTTCCAAATCAATCCACGCTCATCTGTTATAATGTCATACCTTGGTACTTCTTTGCATGCTTTGAAGGTTAGTCTCTTGCAACATTAATTGTAGTTGTACAAATAAGAACTACATTTGCCTTTTGCTTGCGTTTTGCATCTCCAGAATTTTGAAATCACGTTATGTGTGTTATATGTTTGACAGAGAAGTGAGGAAGCACTGGTGGTAATGGAGAAAGCTATTTTAGCAGATAAGAAAAATCCCCTTCCAATGTATCAAAAGGCCAATATACTCATGAGCTTGGAAAAGTTTGACGAGGCATTGGAAGTCTTAGAGGAGCTTAAAGAGTATGCTCCCCGTGAAAGTAGTGTCTATGCTTTGATGGGCAAGATCTATAAAAGGCGCAACATGCATGAGAGAGCAATGCTTCATTATGGTATTTCTTTGGATTTGAAACCATCTGCAACAGATGCTGCTGCTATAAAGGTGATTGGCTTATAACAGCAATTGTTTTGCTCTAAAGTTGTCAACAACTTTACTATTTATCATTTACAATTACAAATCTTTATGCTTTTTTTTTCCCTGAACTATTGGCTACTCTGGAAAGTGTTGAAACGTCACATTTTCTTATGCAACTTGAAAATCTTTAACAGGCTGCCATTGAGAAATTGCATGTACCAGATGAGATTGAAGACAACTTGTAACTTGATGTATGAAGGGCAAAGTGCTAACTTGGTGTAAAATATCCGCATTTGAATCCTTGATCACAAGGATTTGGCTCTGCTTGTGCTTTCGGCATGTTGTGCATAAAAGCAGTACAAATGCTTGAGGGAGTATTCATTCGTGCAGCCATCACGCCCATCTAATTGACGGGTCTATAGAAGTGACCTGAGTTTTGTAGATGATTCACACACAAATAGGACATGATGTAACAAAGGTGCTAAGAAGCTCCTACACGTGTTAAGGAAAACAACATGTATCATGAACACCCATTCAATTTGTTAATAAATCACAGCTTTAGTCTGTTGCCTCTTCCATTTTGAACTTTAATTGTCTCAAGACGCTGAATTTCATCCCAAAAAATTTCTTTATTTTTTATCTTTCATATTTAAAAATGGCAAAAGGTAAAAGAAATGAAATGATACTTTTGAAAAATAATGATGATATATATGATATTATGTCTTTCCTCACATTCACGGATAGAATATAGTACTTTTAAAGTGTTATAATTTAATTATGCATAATATTTACATTGTATGCTTCTAACTTGTCACACGGTTTAATCCATCTTCAACTTTAAAATATTGAACCTATTACAATATCAAACTAGATTCGATTGAAGTTAAATTCAACATACTTGCTCATAAACGTTATGATAAAATTATAATTTTGTACAAAAAGAAGTCACAAATGAAGAGTCTTAAACATTAATTAAATAGTGATTAATATACTTTATTAAATTTTTTTATCATTAAAATAAATATGTTACATTTTAAAATTTTATTATATCTTCTAAATTATTTTCTTATTATTTTATGAAATAAAATAATAAATAAAAAATATTCATTATTTTAAAAACATAACAAATATTTATTTTTTATTTAATGATAAAAAATATAAATATAAAAAATTAGAATGATTGTATAATTTTAGTATAATAAGTATTTTTGATAAATTATATTTTTATTTTTATTTTTCTTTCTTTAACCTCCTAAAGAAAAAGTAGATGCTTATTGCATTGGAACAACGCTATCGCGGTTGTGACGAACCTACGTGACCTTCTCCTACCAACCATTTCCTTCCTCCATCATTGTGTTAGGGTTTTTGGTATTTGCAGTTCCTTCACTTCCAAACACACCGATTCACATTCACACTCTCCTAAGTCTTACGGTACTTTAACTTGTTTCTTCATCATTCTCTTTCCTCATTCCAATTATTATTCATTACATCAATTTCAAAATTGATTCTCTCGGTGCCCTAATTTCACAACCATCGTTTTCTCTTCAGCAATGGGCAGTAAAGGTCGCATGCCACCGCCACCGCACCTGCGGCGGCCGCACCCGCCTGGACCGCCCGCGATGCCCCACCCGCTGGCAGCGCCATTCGATCTGTTGCCGCCGCCGCAGGTGATGGAGCAGAAGCTCGCGTCGCAGCACGCTGAGATGCAGCGTCTGGCTACCGAGAACCAGAGGCTCGCCGCCACGCACGGCGCGCTGAGGCAAGAGCTCGCCGCCGCGCAGCACGAGCTGCAGATGCTGCACGCGCACATCGGGGCGCTGAAGGGGGAGCGAGAGCAGCAAATGCGCGCCGTGCTCGACAAGATCGCGAAGATGGAGGCTGAGGTGCAGGGTGCGGAAGGTGTGAAGCTTGAGCTGCAGCAGGCGCGTGGGGAGGCGCAGAACTTGGTTGTGTCGAGGGATGAACTTGTTTCGAAAGCTCAGCATTTGACTCAGGAGCTTCAGAGAGTTCATGCTGAAGTGATTCAGATTCCTGCTCTTATCTCTGAGCTTGATTGTCTCAGACAGGAGTATCAGCGTTGCAGGTATTCTTGTCCCTTTTTATTGTTTGGGGTTAAATGCATTCCATAGTTAGTTATTGAATTTGATTCTCTTAACAAACCTGCATATATCTATTGTGTAGCGCCTTTGCCTTAAAGAAAATATTGTGATGGTAATGTTAGAAGTGACAAACTGTGAACCTGTATGAGAGCATTGGTTATGTATTGTTGTCTCTGAAGACGATACTTCCTTTCTTGTGATATATGAAATAGGTAATTTGGAATGCTAGCTATTTTTGCTGGATGTGAGCATGCCCATTAATTCATGGGTGGTTTTTGTTCCTTTGTTTAGGGGCCTTTTAGTAGGAATGGTGGGTGGGATTTTGTGGAGAAGTGTTAACTGACAAGTTCAGTGGTAGTTGAGTCCATTCCATAACATTTGTTTTCATATAATGAAGGATATAACCTGATAATTTGTGAATGGAGAAGTGAAAAGAAATTAAGGGGGTAAGTGAACTTGGAAATATGGAAATTCCTTGCATGTAATTTGTTTATTGGAAAATATTGTGAAGAATTTGTTTCTTAGTAGTTAGAAGGGTAGAGAATGGGGAAGCTGGGAAATGGGAATTTTGGAGAAATTGGTGAAGCAATTTGGAAGACAGATAATGATATTGGAACTAATGAACTGTACAGCTTCTGTCGCATCACAATTAACAAAAAGTTATAAATGCTCTCCTTTATTTGAAATTCTGTTTTTCCTGTGTTCACAGGGATAGAAACATTTCTTTCATATTGAGGGTTTTTACAAACTTATGAGGGGTTTCCCTTGGTCTGGAAGGGGAGAAAAGAGAAGAGATCACTTGCAGGAGTGGTACTTTGTATTATGAAGGAAGCTTTGGCCCCTATCAAATTCTTTCAACCTCCATTACTCTTATAAAGAAATATTATTTTATTGTTTTTCCTTTTATACAGAGGAATGCTTTGCCTCTGGCTACATTCTTACTTAGGAGATTTGTTGTAGGCAGTAGGCCTGAGATGGATGAAGGCTTGGGTCATTGCATATTGTGTATTCATCTAGAGACAGTAATTTGTAGGTTCTTCATTATTCAGGTAGCAAAATATTATTCTTCAGTGATCTGGTATTTTGCTTGAAATGTGGCGTGCAATAGGAATATAGGATTAGTAGCAAGAATATGCTACTGGTTTATAGACCTCCTAAAGCCTCTACCCTGAAATGTGTGTTTAGTATGCTAGCTTAGGAACAGATGCTCCCTTATCCAATGAATTGTACTACAGGTATTTTATTCTTTTCTTTTCTTTTTTTGGAACAGGTGTTTATGTTTCTTTATTAATACTGGGCATGTCCTTAGTTTGGTGTAGTCTTTATGTAGGCTAATTTCAGAGATTTTGAAAAATAATGGTGTTTTTTTTAGTATATAATCTTGTCAATTTTGGAGGGATTCTTATCCTCACGAAATTTGTTTTTTCTATCAAATACAAAAAAGAACAGACAAAAAAACCTTATGATGTCTGTTTTTGCAGCCCTCAGGTGTTTTTGGCTGGAGTGAAGTGCTTTTATTTTGCATGGGGTTGTGTTACCTTTACAGCCATTATAATTGGATAAATAAATTTCATCAATTTTGTTTTGTTGTCTGCTCTTAGCTTCAGCATGAAAGCTTATTTGCACCAATGAGCTTTTTGTTGTTGTCACTGTTTTCCTTTCTGTTGTCTTTATAAAGTAATTTTGTAGTACTTCTATTGTAATATTCTTATCATCCTTCATCTCCTCCATTTCCCCCTTGTTAAGATGTGCCCATGATAGAGTCATTTTCTCTTCTAATTTTCTCTGTCCATAAATTGTACTACATTGAGCTTTTTAAGTTCCAAGCAATGCTGGAGTGTTCCCATAGTTTGTAGCTGAGTTTGTTTATTACTACTTATTAGTTAGTGTTCTTTCCAATCTAACCAATTTGATGTCTGTGAAACACATATCTGCTGGACTTAACAATGAAAATTCTCTTTCAAAGCAGAGGTTTTTTCCTTTCTATTAGCCTATCTTTTCTTTTATAAGCAAGTTATCCTCTACATCACTCAGTTCTTATAGGATTGGATTTATTCTTTGTTCTAGTAGAATTATAAATAGTCTATTTGAAAGGGTGTAATACTTAATTTTCCATATATGTACCAGGTTATCCAATGGCCACTGGTCTTGGCTGTATAGTGCAATCAGATCCTAAGTTGATGCCTAGTTTCTTGGTTTTGAACTCCATTCTGTTTTCATTTCATCTGTCCCTAAGGTGGTGGTGGAGCCTTGTGCACTTTGCTTCCATTTTTTATTCTGCTTTATGTAACTTAATCAGTCACTCAAGTTCTCCCCAAGTCTCCACAAGTTTATGAAGTATTATAACCTTTCCAATTTTAATCTCAAGGTCATTTCATTGGCCTCTTGATTCAAACTCATAAGAGTTTCTTCAATGGCAAATATATGTGGAATTGCCAATCAATGTGTTAGCATGGGCATGTGACTCAGCCAAAGAGATGCTACTAAGGCACCTACCTATGCTTCCCTTTCTAGACAGGCTTGGTTAAGCTAGGGTGGTCAGCATGTGGTAGGCATAGAAGCCGAAAACCGGTCTGGCAGCTATACTTTGGTGTTTTGGTTATGGGTGAATCTTCTATTCTCATCCCTTCTAGTTGGCATCCCATCAACCACCAATTTAACCTGTTAAACCCATTCATCACTTCCAAGTTCCAACTGATTCTAAACTTAGATTAACTCCGAACTTTCAATCCACCTATTTGCACCCATCTTTAGCTTAAGTAAATCCTGAGCCCAACCCTTTGATTGCTGTTCTCACTTTCTGTCCTTGCAGCATGCTAGCATAGTGTCAGACTAGACTACCATGTTAAGTGCCCCTGACAATATGTTGTTCTGGTCATGCAGGGCCACTTTTGACTATGAAAAAAAATTGTACAATGATCACCTTGAGTCTCTTCAGGTGATGGAAAAGAACTATGTTTCTATGAGTAGGGAAGTGGAAAAACTTCGAGCAGAGCTTACAAACACAGCTAATGTGGATCGAAGAACTAGTATGTATCTCCTTTCATACCTGTTTTCTGCGTTAGAGCCCTTGGTCCTCAATTTTTCATGATTTGTGGATTGATCATGGTAACAAAATTCAGGTGGGCCATATGGTGGCACCTCTGGAACTAATGAGAATGAGGCTTCTGGTCTTCCTGGGGGACAAAATGCATATGAAGATGGTTATTCTGTTGTGCAGGTGTGTGATGCCTCCCTGTGTTTTGGTGTTTCATGTTTCTTGTGGGAGTGCAGCATTCTAGTTCATTGTCTAAAATTATTAATTTCTATTTTTTAAAATAAATTATTCTTGACTTGTTTTGCCGGCATGTTTGAACTTATTTTTTAAATTCTTCATTTTTAAATATTGCAAATTTCTATTATGATTACAAATTGTAATTGGCAACTATGTGCCTCTGGTGTCAAGAAGTAATGATGTGTTGTGGGGATTGTGATACAAGCCGATGATTTTTTTGAATAATTAAATGTCTAGCAGTCATTTGTTTTTGTCTCCTATATTATGGAGCAACCTGATTAAGCATAGTTTGATAATCATTGTTCTGATGGTACCAATTTGACATAGTGTTGGTTACCTTGATAAAGAATTTCAAAATCTATTGGATTATCATGCTTATTGTCATGTCTGGTACGTGCCTTTTGTAATAACAATTTGGACAACTATTACTTTTGTGCAGAGATAGTTGGAATAATTGAGAGTTTATAATTGATGCTCTGTGTTCGACTGTTATATTCTTGTACGTACTTATCTGAAACAGAGCACAGTATACAGTGTAACTATAAAAAATAAAGGATTTTAGTTTATGGCTGACAAGGGAAGATTTACTGATTAGAAGGGCCACATGCTTTTCGGGTTGATTCTATTTATATGTTCAAATAATTTATCCAAGTTTGATCCACCCACTTTACTTCATCTGCCATGTGGATTGTAAATAATGTTGCATCCTACATTTTGTTTAACAGGGACGTGGCCCCCTCCCTGCGGCTAGTGGTGCTGGTGGTGGCAATGCCAGTACAATTACTACTCCTGGTGCTCAACCTGGTCCAGCTCCTGCAGGGACTGGTTATGATGCTCCCAGAGGGCCTACTTATGGTGCATCTACAGGGCATTCTTATGATGCACAGAGAGGTGTTACTTATGACACACAAAGGTTGACTGGTTACGAAGCATTTAGAGGATCTGCTTATGATTCCAAGAGAGGGCCAATTTTTGATGCTCAAAGAACTGGCTATGATCCGCAGAGAGGACCAGGTTATGATGTCCAGAGAGGACCTGCTTATGATGCATCAAGAGCAGCTGGCTATGATGCACCAACAAGAGGTGTTGCTGGTCCTCATGGACATGCTCCACCAGTAAACAATATGCCTTATGGATCCACAACCCCACCTGCTCGTGGTGGAGGTGGATACCCTGCTAGGAGATGACCTTGAGTCTTGAGATGCCTAACCCATCATACATTGATGGCACTCAAATCAAGTAGCGTGTCAAGTGCTACTAGAAAGCTCATCTCACGAACGTCTGTTTTGTCCTATCTTTCTTATGTAATGTGCATAGTAAACTAGAGGGGAAAGGCCGTTATTGGGAAATGCATTCTCACAGCATATAATTGTTCTAGATGAGGTTGGTAACACAGTATCAAACCTCCCCTATCTATTGGAGTAATTTTATTTAAGATAGCTTAATTTTTGAACTCTTTTCTCTTAGCCTTGCATCTAATGATTCCAAATCCAATTTCACTTTCAATCTAATTATATATGCGTATTTCTTTCTCTTTTTTTTTTTTATCAATTTTAAGCTCCTTGTCTTTTAATTATTATTATTTTTTAGAATTTTAGATGAATTTTAAAAAGAAATTGCATGTCTGGGTATTTATTATAATCATTAAAGATTTTTGACTTACAACGCGTTGTTAAGATTGAAATACATTGCAATACAATTCAGCCGTAGAACGTATAATATGGATTTCATATTTGATGCTAAGTTTGGTATCCATAAAATTGGATATATTTGTAATTTTTGGTCCCGAAAAACTTGAAAGAGGTGAAAAAGTCTTCAAAATATTACATTTTAATATTTAAAATTAATCTTAGTAACTGTTATTAATAAAATTGTTAAAATAATAACCTGGCATACAAACGAGATATTATTGACAAGATTGCACATATTTATGTCCATTCATGTGATCACTGTGTAAACATGAATGATGTTATTAAATGAGTTGTATGCTTCTGAATTACCGAATTCCTTTCCCATGAGTAGAGTGATCTAAGAAATTTAGCATGTTCCTCATATGATCTTTTTGCTTAGCTTGTCTTTGTGCCAGAAAGATTATACGTGAGCTGAGTTGGCAACTTCTTTTTGCGGCATTTGCTCCAACGTGTGTTTCTAGATCATTTCAGTGATTCGCCTAACATACTTCAACACTCCTGTACTTGGACCATGATGTGGTTTGTATACGTCTGTCACTTAAATATTCATCTTTGCTGTATTTTGTTTTTATTAGGTAAGCTATGGTCCCCATAAAGTTTATAACTAACACAACACTGGAATGTAATAACAGGTTAGAAGCGTACTTGTATATGTTGATAATGCACATAAAATAATTCAGAAAGATACTTTCAATGACATAATATCATGCTTTTGCTCCCCTTAAATACCAACATATTCTTTTTATTATATGGTGAAATTCGTGTATGTTTCACTACTTAGGGACTGGAATTCCTGAAGTGAGTTTCACAGAAATTTTGATTAATAATAATGAATATGTTAAAAAGAGTATACGAAATAATGAGTTGTTAGAATTTCATTTATCCTAAATATTTTATGGGTACAACGTAATTGACTCCATGAAGAAGAAAGGGCTCGGAAAGCCTCTGTCACTTTTGATGTTTCATATGTCCACCATTGTTTGAAACCTTGTGACAATTGAGAAAAAAAAAAAACATAGTCTATTATGGAGGGAGGTAGTATCAGAAATTTCTGAACGAATTTGAAAAGAACTAAATAATGTCATGTTGCAGTGATAGTAATAGGAATAAGAATTATTTGCTTCCAAGGTTTTCTCGTGTTGCTTGTTTTGACAATGGAGTTGTGAAATATATAGTGATCTTGCAGAGGGTGCAGTAATTTTTAAAAAATTATAATCAACTGTATTTTTATTTAACATTCAATAAGCATTTTAACAGTAAAACACTGGCTGTATCTTCCTTTTATCTTTCTCCTTTCGCACATAAGTAGTAGAATTATAGTGTGAATACATAATGAGATGAACAAAATGTACTATGCAAATGTGAGATGATGCATGTATAAGAGTGCGTAGCATCATTTTCTCTAATGATGAACCTAATGTGCTTGACAATCCATTTTGTATATTAATCTGCGGCTCCAATTTGTTGTGAACCTCCATTTTGGAGTATTACAATAATGAGATTTAGTTTATAATGACAAAAATGAAAGAGTTCAATTGAATTTCATTAGTTCATTACGATAAGGATTTTGACCAATTGATTGTGATTGTTATTAAGTACATGCCTACAGAACAAGCAATGATGTACATCCAATGTGTGCACATATTCTCACTAATGAGTTGTTAATGTTTTGTCATTGTCAAATCTATCAAATAGCTTTATGATAATTTATCTTAACGTGTCTGCATCTGATGCAAAGATTCAGAAAAATTATAGACCAGAGTCATAGACCAATGCTACTAAGAAGATAATATACTACTTGTTTTCGTGAATATATATTTAACATCAATCTTCAAATTAAAGTCTTGGAGTTGAGGTACACTAGGAAAGATACAAGAAGTACGTGTAACCAAATGTTCATCGTTTGAATCTTCTTATTTGATGTATATGCTTATGTTTGTCGTATACTTTTGTTATTAGTTTGAGTCTGATTGCTCATCACTTTGAGCAGTATGTCATCACAATGAATTGAGGTCTGAGCAGTGTGAATTCCTGTGGTCATATCCACTTTAGAGTTACATTACATCCTATGTTGATTCATGAGTTGTGGTATCATGATCCAAATTCCACTCAAGAGAACATGTTGGTTGGGTCTCATGGCCACCAGCGTCCCAAGAGAACATTCACAATTCACAGCAAAAGTTATGTGTCTATAAAGTTTTTAATAAATCCTTTTAAGAGTAAAAAGTAAGAAGGTAAAATAAATTGAACTTTTTTTAAGTCAAAATTTAGTTATGTATTTAATATTTTTAGAAATTATTTCGTTCAACTTTTAAAAAAAATAAAATATATAAGTTAAATTTAACTTACGAAAAATGTTTGATTTATTTGACATTCTTATTTTTCACTATATTCAATCATTGATTGTTTAGCATTAAATTTCTTCTAGGTCCATTCTAATTTACATTGACAAGTAATGGTGTGAACTATGGTTATAAAAGGATAAATTCTCTCATGGATTATTTTCCAATACTATTTGGTTTTGTATAAAATAAATTGTGAATAAGATATGTTGTAGACTACTAGGGTGGGGAAAATATAAAAGGTGGTGTGGAGTGCTATAAGAAAATGCTAAAGATGTGTGGTTGGTATTGATTTGGACTTAGCCCTTGGAAGAAACTATTATGCTTAGTCATTTTCCTTTATAAAGTGTCCTTATGCACCTTGTAGAGTGCATTTTGATGGCCAAGCAATTTACTATCCCTTGTCCTCCATCGTCAATTCATCATCCCCACATCACAATGTTATTCAAGTGCAGCCAAATTCCACAACAGAAATTTTCTACTTTATTCTTGGTGCTTACCCGCTGCACTTACTACTAATACTTGTATTTAATTTTGATTCCTATTCTTACATCAATAATTTTTTTAACACTTCCCTTCTTTCTGTATATACCTTTCCTCTCTTTTTCTACTAAATTGACACTTTTAGCGAATTATAAGACAACACAAAAAATAAAGACATGAATAATGTCAACTACTAAATATTACTTTTTGATATTTTGTCTTCACATATGAACTAGTTGTCTTCTCGAAGCAAGTTTAAATACTATATTTTTAACTATGATATGTGTGGTTTTTAGTGCATACTTTTATTATTGTAAAACCCAATAAAAACCTCATATTCGCAATTTAATAATCCTATGATCTAGTTAATTTTCTTTCATTTATTACAATATGAAATATGAGCCACTTTTACATAATTTTATTAGATGTAGGAATAATTTTAGAATGACCAGTTAAAATGTTAAAGAATGACCAAATCAATTTATCAAACCATGCATAAAATGATGTTACGATATATTGTTGAATGATAATGTAAACTTTTTACATATTAAATCATGTGTGCGTATGTGTATGAATCTTACTAACTAAACGCTAACTAAGGAACAAAATAACAAATAGAAAATATTCGTCAACAAAAAACAATACACAATAATGAAGAAAGTATAAAATATTCAATAATCGAAAGTATATATTCAATAAAAAGTAGAGCATTTAACAATGAAGGCATTGTAAAGCTTTTCTTTTTATTTTTACTTACATCGATTTATGCTTGAAGTTTAGTAAAAGAGTTTTACTTTACAAATTTAATACATTTCTGACGCGTTTCGTTGTGAAATTCTCTAATATTATTTTAAAATTAATGCGCGCGAAAATCCTTTAAACTTTCTAAGTTTAATCCATTGATAACATAAAAAAAATGTTTATTTATTATTGTTCTGTATGACAATCACTTAAATATTATTATAAAGTCGATTGAAAATCTTAATAATTTATAATGCTATAACACTTTGCTATTCATCAGCAACATGAACAATTAAAATATTAATAGATGCAAGAATATAACTGGAAACGAGTATTTTTGTTGTCCCTTAACTTAGCCTACGTTGAAAAACAATAAAAACATTGAACCCCAAAGTATTGTGCATCAAACACATAGATGTTATACATAAATTGAAGAAATTATTATTTATTCACACACACATGTAAAGTTTTTATTTGAATTCATTTTAATATATTAATCTTAGCAATTTGCTCGGTTAAAAAGCATTCTCTATTATCCCTTAAAATTTGAAAAAAAATACAAATATTTTTATCTTAATCGGAAAAAAATTAATAAATGCATGTTTTGATATTTAAAGAATACGGCCAAAAGCTATGAATTTATGGTAATAAAATTTAAAAAAAAAAATAACTATGCACTCTATTGGTAAAAATTTTACACAAAATTTACTCAACATTCGTTACATGTATTCTTGAAACACTGTTCTGAATTCCTATGTATTTTAGGTTTAATTCAGTGGCTTAAATTTTTTACACCAACTTAATTCTTAATACTTTATCAAGAAAAGAGAAAATTTTCAGTAACTAACAAAACTGCGAATTGGAGGATCTATGGAATATTCTTTCCTCCTTCGTTAAATATCATCTCTATTCATTACACAATTTGACGAGACATTTAAGATAGCCAATTCTCATCCATAAGTAATAATTATTTTAAAATTTATATTTAAAGTAATCTTTAATTAATGGATGATATAAAGATTTTTAAACCAATGATGTATTAAAATTAAAATCATACACATGCTCATATATGTTACATCATTGATTTTCAACATACTAAATTTTCTCCATTTCAATAAAAACAAAAGTGAACGTGACATAATTGCCCTGCACTCTTTATTTTGATGGTCCACCCAAAACAGGCTGAGGTTT